TGGTATGGCCACTTTGGAAAACAATCTGGCAGTTTTTCACAAAACTAAGTATACTCTTACCATATGACCCACCAATCACACTCTTTGGTATTTACCCAAAGGAGTTAAAAACTTATGTCCACATAAAAACATACACACAGATATTTATAGCAACTTTATTCAAAACTGCCAAAACCTGAAAGCAATCAATATGTCCTTCAGCAGGTGAATGGATAAATAAGCTGTAGTACATCCAGACAATGAAATATTATACAGGAATCCCCCACTTTCCAAAAGTTTAAGTTATGCCACTTCACTTTTACCAAAGATCTACATTAATATACAATGACTTTTAACTAAAAGTCCAAATTTTAGCCTTGGCTGGTGAGGCTCAATTGGTTGCAGCACTGTCCCATGCACCAAAGGGTCTCGGGTTTGATTCCTGGTAAGGGCACATACTCAGGTTTCCGGTCGATTCCCAGTCAGGTCGCATATAGAAGGCAATCAATTGATGTTTTTCTTTCTCTCTCTTTCTCCCTCCCTCTCCCCTTCCTCTCTCTCTAGAATCAATGAAAAAAATATATCCTTGGGTGAGGATAAAAAATAAAAAAAAAGCAATTTCATCAGATTTATTTTGGTTAGCAAAAACAGGTACCAATATATATCTTCATAAAAGCAAAATGGCATAACTCGAACTTTCAGAAACCTGGGGATACACATCGCCCTTTGCACTATTATGAAATGTTTCATAGGAATATTCTACTTTTGGATAGTGAGGAAACCTGTATAGTACTAAAAAAAATGAGCTATCAAAGCCATGAAAATACATGGAAGAAACCAAAATACATACTACTAAGTAGAAGAAGCCAATCTGAAAAGGTTAAATACTGCATGATCCCAACCGTATAGCAGTCTGGAAAAGGCAAATTATGGAGACAGTAAAAAGATCAGGGGGTGTCACAGCTTAGGGAGATGGGGTGAAATAGGCAGAGCACAGAGTATTTTTAGGGCACTGAAACTACTCTGTATGAACCTATACTGATGGATACATGTCATTACACATTTGTCTAAATCAGAGATTTTCAACCTTTTTCATCTCATGACACACATAAACTAATTTAAAAAGATTGAAATCTTACAAACTATATTTTCTGACCACAATGGAATGAAACTAGAAATCAATAGCAGCAGAAAAACTGGGAAATCCATAAATATGTGGAAATTAAACAACTTATTGTTGAAAAATCAATGACTCAACAAAGGAATCACAAGGGAAATTAGAAAATATCTTGAGACAAATGAAAATGAAATCATAACATACCAAAACTTATGGGCTGCAACAAAAGCAGTTTTAAGAGGGTAGTTAATAGCTAGAAATGCCTACATTAAAAAAGATGAAAGATCTCAAATCAATAACCTAGCTTTACATCTCAGGGAACTAGTAAAGGAGGAACAAAATGCACCAAAAATTAGCAGAAGGAAGGGAAGGATTAATAACAATTAGAGCAGAAAAATAGGGAATAGAAAAACAATATTTTTTTAAAAAGCAATAATACTAAGAATTTGGAAATTAGAAAATATCTTGAGACAAATGAAAATGAAATCATAACATACCAAAACTTATGGGCTGCAACAAAAGCAGTTTTAAGAGGGTAGTTAATAGCTAGAAATGCCTACATTAAAAAAGATGAAAGATCTCAAATCAATAACCTAGCTTTACATCTCAGGGAACTAGTAAAGGAGGAACAAAATGCACCAAAAATTAGCAGAAGGAAGGGAAGGATTAATAACAATTAGAGCAGAAAAATAGGGAATAGAAAAACAATATTTTTTAAAAAAGCAATAATACTAAGAATTTGCTTCCTTTTTTTAATATATTTTATTGATTTTTTACAGAGAGGAAGGGAGAGGGATAGAGAGTTAGAAATATCGATGGGAGAGAAACATCGATCAGCTGCCTCCTGCACACCTCCTACTGGGGATGTGCCCGCAACCAACGTACATGCCCTTGACCAGAATCAAACCTGGGACCTTTCAGTCCGCAGGCTGACGCTCTATCCACTGAGCCAAACTGGTTAGGGCAAGAATTTGTTTCTTGAAATGATCAACAAAATTGGTAAGCCCTTAACTAGATTAACTAAGAAAAAACAAGGAGATTCAAAAACTAAAATCAGATATTAGAGAGAAAGCATTAAAATTGAAACCAAGCAATAAACAGGATTATGAGACAACCTATAGAAATGGATAAATTCCTAAATATATACAACCTATCAAGACTAAATCATGAAGAAACAAACATATGAACAGAGATATAACAAATAAAGAGATTGAATCAGTAATCAAAAACCTCCCAACAAAGAAAAGCCCACAGCTACATGGCTACACTGGAGAATTTCTACCAAACATTTAAATAAGAATTAAGGCCAATCCCTCTCAAACTCTTCCAAAAAATTGAAGAGGAGGGAGCACATCCAAACTCATTTTATGAGCTAGCATTATTACCCTGATGCCAAAGCCAGACAAATATATTATAAGAAAACTACAGACCAATATCCATGATTAATACTGACACAAAAACCTCAACAAAATACTAGCAAACTAAGTTCAACAGCACATTAAAACAATTATACACCATAACCAAATTGGATTCATCCCTTGAATTCAAGAATTGTTAAATACACAAAAGCAATCTTGAGAAAGAACAAAGCTGGAGGCCTCACATTCCTAATTTCAAAATATATATTAAAAAGCTACAGTAATCAAAACTATATAATGCTGGCAGACACAGAGACAAATGGAACAGAATAGAGAGTCTGACATAGAATAAAACGCAGATTGCTAAACATGTGTGCTGTTGACTAGACATTACTGCCATTACTTTTAAGTTCTTCCTTGCATTGCAAAGGAAAAGAAATTAAAGTTTCCAGATTTCCTCTGGAGGTAGTTGTAGGTACAGAGTTGGACAGAGAAGCAGCTTCCAGGTGGGTAGTTTCTTGAGAACCACTCATTCTGTTGCTACAAACCTAGAAAGTTCTTAAGATTTCCAGTGACTTGAGAAAACAACCAGCTTTGATACTTCAGGCTGAATTAATCAGTGACAGTGTCCCTAATTCCCTCAGCCCTTCCAAAGGTTGCAAAGGCCTTTATCCCTATATTAAAATCCCACTGCTTGGAATTCATTGCCTTCTGTTTCCCTAATCAAATTCTGGTTGATTGATTCAGGGTATGTGAAAATAGTCTATAACCTGAAAAAGACATATAAAAGCATGGATTATTATTTCTATTCCCACTGATAGAAAATTTCAACTGACCTTGATTTCTGGTAATCAGCCTCCTTTTAGACAAATCAATACATCTAAAATAAAGCTTTCCTTCTACAAATCAATAAACAATAAAACTTTTCCTTACTAAAAAAAACAGCTCTCTACCTAACTTCATTTCCCCAGTTAATGACCCAGTCGAGACATGTTTACTAAGCAAGGTATTGTGTAGGTACCAAAAGATTCCCCCTGTAAGAGTTTATAATATATGAGTATAATAAAGACATAACATTCATACTATAACTATTACATATCAGGAACGATATGTAATGGTGGGTAAGGGAAAGAATGGATTAAACTTGACTTGGGAGTGCAAAGATAAACATCAAAAAAGGATTTAAGGAAAAAGAGAATTAAAGGTTGCAAGAAACTGAAAGAAAGCATGCTCAAAAAAAACAAAGCTAGCAACCCTGGAATATGTATAGAGAACAAAGGCATATAATACAGAGTAGCTTATTCATGGAGTGTGTACTAAGAAGAGGAGACTAAGTCCAAATAGTGAGTGTGTACTAAAAAGAGGAGACTAAATCCAAACACTACAAGGTCAGAAAAGCTAAACATCTGGACTTTATTACCATTATCCAACTTCAGATTCATAGAGATTTATAAAATTTTATGCCTAGATAACAAAATCAGGCTACTAATGTACCCCCACAGCTAGAATCTAATAGTAGAAGAACTAAACAGAAAAAAGCAGCTGATCTTACTAAATTCCTGTTTTTATACTAATACTCTTCTGCTCAAAAACTTTCAATAACTTCTGAACACCTACTTTTATCAAATCCCTCAATACCATGGTCCCCATCCTATTCAACCGTATTTTCAACCATTGCCCAACATGTACAACTCTTTCCAGATAAGCTATTCTCTGTATTATTGGCCCTTGAGCAAGACAAGAAAACATAGATGGAGTGACAACGCAGATTAATCAGCTCGGGCTGCTACAACAAAATACCACAAATTGAGCAGTTTTAAACAACGTAAATTTATTTCTCATAGTTCTGCGGGCTCCGAGTCCAAGATCAAGATACTGGCTGATCTGGTTTCTGGTAAGGGTTCTTCCTGGCTTGTAGATGGCTGACTTTTCACTGTCTTCTCGTGGCCTTTCCTCTAAATTCACACTCAAAGAGCGAGAACAGTCTCCCTCTTCTTGTAAGCCCACCAGCCCTACTGGATTAGGGTCCTACCCTTATGACCTCACTTAACCCTAATTACCTCCATAAAGACCCTAATTCAGTTATATTGGGGATTGGGGATTCAACATACGAATTGGGTGGGAGGGGGTGGCTGGGGGTAGGGACATAAACATTTACTTCATATCACACTGGGTTATTTCTGAGGCTAGACCTTAAGAGATCCTGCATCTTCTGCTCTTACCCTCTTGAAATACTTTCCCCGTCATGTGAAAAAGCCCAGCCTAGCCTACTGGAGGATGAGAAACCACAGGAGAACTAAAGCACCCTAGACAATAGCCAAAAGCCAATACCAAATGCCTGAGTCGAGGTTACATTGGACCATGTAGTTCCAGTTAAGCTATAAGATAACTACAACCACAGGAGTGACCCAGATGACACTAGCAGAAAAACTGCCAGCTGAGCTCAGGTCAAAATTGTAAAATCATGAGAAAATAAATGACTGTTGCTTTAGATCACTAAATGTGGGGATAGTGTGTTACAGAGCAATAAATATCTGATGGCATACCTTCTTGTTCTGCTTTTTGACCTAGACCTCTGAACTCTATAGGATTTCCCCCAATCCCTTGAACGACTTCGACTTCGTTTTCTTCTAGAGCCATAAGAAGAGCTACTGCTTGATCGATGTCTCCGTCTGAAATAAAATATAATTAAGTATCATTGCTATAAAAAAATTTTGTATGAGCATTAAGGAGAAATCACCTAGATTCTATAGAATTGTCTCATTTTTACTGTCTTACACCTTCCTAAAAGCAAAAAGAGATAAAATGTTATTGCTCTTGAACAGTCAGATGACTAATTTCATAATTTAGTGATTGAATTAGCTACAAATTAAGACCTTGGAGGTGTTAAGTAGTATACAATCCTTCCAAATGTTATCAGATAACATAGTATGAGAATTAAGCTAGTTTATACCTACTTGTTTACAAAGAATAGACAAAGGAGAAAGACACTGAACCCATGGGATTGGCTGGAAAAACAGAACAAAACACCTCTGGTTTGGGACTTAACCTTCATAACTATATAACTACTAAAAGAAAAATGTTTTACCCAGAAAAATTAAAAGTACAAAAATATAAGAACTTGAAAGAATGTGGTCTCATTACTACATAAGTAAAAATTATGAGAATCACCTTCTATCATAAGAATGTGAGCGAGGCTGAAGATCTCTGGACCAAGATCTTGACTTTGACCTTGATTTCCTTCCACCTTTCCTTCGGCTGTATGTTCTACTATCTGAAGAACTACTTGAAGATGACCGTCTACGATGTTTCTTTTTTCTCTTGCTTCTGCTTTCTTCTTCAGTATCTGATGAACGGCGTCCCATTTCTACAAGTTTAAATTCAAAGAAAATTATTACTAACATATGGCACCATGGATGAAATTTAATATAGCAATTTTTTTAAACTTTGCAAAAATTTTTAGTCTTAAAGTAAAATTTTAAATGTACCTGGCTTCTTGACAAGAATATAAAAAACATCTCTAATACAGTCTTCAGTTTTTATAATTTAGTAACTGTTTTTATAATTTATGAACAACTTAAATTTATCCTAAATTTTTCCAAATGTCTCTCAAAAGAGTCAATCTGAGGACAGCTCATTATAACAATTTTCTTATATTTTAAGTTGCAGTTATGATTAATTACATAATATTTGGTTTAGGGATCAACTACCTAATTATTCATTTTCACATTCCCTAAAGATAAAACATATTTTACTATCTTTTAGAATTACTTTTTTCTAACTGAAAATTCTACATTTTTAAATGGATAAAAACTCACTAGTCATCACCAGAGTACAAAGTGAAATAATACACTATCATCATTTCACTTGTGAAATTTGGGAGAGGAAATGTTAACTTAAGTAACGAAGTTGACGAGGTTATTGTGAAGTCGGTCAAATCTTCACACTGCTAGTAAAGTGGTGGTATATTCCTTCCTGAAAGCAATTAACAATTTAAATATAGAGTCATAAAAAAATGTTTATTTTTTGTCACAAAGCAATTCTACTTCTAAGAATGTATCTGAAAACTTTTTCTTAAAAAAAATATAATCACAAAGATATCCATTATACCATTATTAAAACTGTCTCTATAGAGACTGCAATTTTTAAAAATATGTACATATGAGTAAGAGCAAAAATAAAAACTGATAATATGTAAGTGATAAAACTGGGTAACGTTTTTTTCTTTTTAAACATATTTTCAAAAAAAACCAAAAAAAATATTTTCTATATAGCTATGGTAATGTTTTTACATTTAGTATACAAAAGGAAAAATATACAGAAATAGAAGTTAAAGAGTTTTTTCAAATTATATTTTTATTGTTAACTTTATTATAGATGTCCCTCATTTACATTCCATTTGCTTTTCCCCCCGACTCTGCCCTCCCCTCCCTATAACGCTGACCACATTGTTGTATGTGTCCATGGGCTTTGCATGTATGTTCTTTGGCTATTCTCTTCACCTTCTTTCACCCTATCTACCCCATGCACCTCCCCTCTGACATCTGTCAGTCTGTACCAAGAACGCATGTCTCTGGTTCTATTTTGTCAGTTTATTTTATTCATTAGATTGTACAAGTGAGATCACATGATATGTGTCTTTCTCTGACTGGCTCATTTTGCTTAGCATAATAATCTCCATGCTGTCATAAAAGGTAAGAGATCCTTTCTTTTAATAGCCTCGTAGTATTCCATTGTATAAATGTACCATTGCTTTTTTATCCACTCATCTACCAATGGTGTTTTGGAATTATCAGAATATATTCCCAGAAGTGGGATCACTAGGTTGAAAAGCAGTTCCATTTTCAACTTTTTGAGGAAACTCCATACTGTTTTCCACAGTGGCTGCGTTCCTACCAACAATGCACTAGGGATCCCTTTACTCCACACCTCGCCCGCACCTGTTGTTTGTTGATTTACTGAAGGTAACCATTCTGGCAGGTGTGAGGTGGTATTTCATTGTGGTTTTAATTTGCATCTCTCTGATGGTTAGTGACATTGAGCATTTTTTCATATGTCGATTGGCCATCTGTATGTCCTCATTAGAGAAGTGTCTATTCAAGTCCTTTGCCCATTTTTTTAAGTGGATTGTTTGTCTTCCTGGTGTTGAGTTGTATAGTTCTTTATATATTTTGGAAATTAATCCCTTATCATGGGGGAATATGTTCTCCCATTAGTAGGTTCCCTTTTCATTTTGTTGATGGTTTCTTTAGCTGTGCAGAAGCTTTTTAGTTTGATGTAATCCCATTTATTTATTCTTTCCTTAGCTTTCCTTGCCCCAGGAGACATATTGGCAAAAATATTGCTATGTCAGATGTCTGAGATTTTACTGCGTATGTCTTTTTCTAGGATTTTTATGGTTTTGCAACTAACATTTAGGAATTACCTTAGTTCAGCGGTTCTCAACCTGTGGGTCGCGACCCCTTTGGGGGTCGAACGACCCTTTCACAGGGGTCGCCTAAGACCATCCTGCATATCAGATATTTACATTATGATTCATAACAGTAGCAACATTACAGTTATGAAGTAGCAATGAAAATAATTTTATGGTTGGGGGTCACCACAACATGAGAAACTGTATTTAAAGGGCCAGAAGGTTGAGAACCACTGAAAGTTTTCTTATTTCCTGGCTTTTTCTTCCATTCTTGTTTTTACTTTTAAGCAGTTAAAAATGTTCTTTACCCACAAATAACCATTTAACATGAGCTTTGATGTTCTTATTATCTTGTTAAAAAAATACTAAAATGAGAATATAAAAATAAAAAGATATAAATTCACAAGGATACACAGACTAGAAGAGAAGACAGAAGGAACAGTAAACAAGATATGTCAACAAATTTTTAGCAAATGAAAAACATATGGAGGATTTAGACCTATGAGAGCCGAATACCAGCAACTGCAGAGAATTCCAACATGAGAAAAGCCATTTTACATAGCAAAAATCAGAAAGGATAGGAATTTAAGATACCACTTACCACAGTGGACACAAAGATGCATGGAACTAAAAAACAAGGGAACTGGATGAAAGTCTATAAAAGCAGTAATCTCCCAGGTCCCCTTCCCCATGCAACCCAGACAGGTGACTACTCTTACCCAATCCCAGGAGAGGTGATTTATTTAGTAAAAATGGCTAAATAATAAAGCACCAGATTCAGGGGCACAATAAATGAGGGCAGAGAGATGCTAACCTAAAAGTGAAAGGAATTACATGAAAGTCTACAACTAATGGTAAATACTGTACCATTAGTTGGATCCAAGATCGTTCTGGCAGAGGATTCATCTATGCAAAAACTGAGCAGTAGCTGAAAAAGATATACTGTAAGTATTTGAAGGTATGCCACCCCCCAAAAAGAAAAAAATGGCCAGGCCCTTACCCAATCACCTATAACCAAGCCCACCAGTTAATAAGCCCAAGCCTTAAACATTTTTCAGTAAACAATTTTTCTGTTAACTTTTTATAGATTATTAAAAAGGGGGGAGGAGAGGATAACCAATCACGTGATGAAAGCCTTCATTATAAGAGACAGAAAGGGGAAAAAAAAAAAAACTCATAGTAAACCAGGAATATGCAGAAGAAAATTAAAGGAAAATATCACAGCTAATTTCCTCAGATCCAGCAAACAAGAATAGGAGGAACATCCATAGAACAGAAGAAAAAGCTTGAAATTTAAAATATGATAACTTGTAAAAAAAAAATACAATAAAATTAGAAGATGAGTTCAAATGACTCAAAAAGTAGTAAGAAAAAGATTAAAATCAGGATGTAAAAAGTAGTAAGAAAAAGATTAAAAATAGGAGGTAAAAAGTCCCTGGAACAATTAATTTTAAATGACATAAACCAGACATATCTCATAAAAATTCAGACACTAGGAATATATAGAAGATCCCAGAAACTTCTACAGAGAAAAAAATGGAGAAATCATAATAAAAGGAACAGGACTTCTAAACTGCAATATATAGAAAACAATGGAGACTTGTGTCCAAAATTCTAAATGAAAATGATTTTCAACATAGAATCTATATCCAGACTTATCACTGATCTAATACAAGATCAGAATAAAGACATTTTCAGATATGTAGCCCCAAAATTCTACCTCACATTCCACCAAAAGCAAACAGCAAACCAACAAAGACAAGCCAGATTAAAAAAATAAGGAATGTAACACTAGAGATAGGTAAAACATCCCAGGATGAAAGCAGGCCTAGCTATAAGGGATACATCAGTGAACAAGAGACAAAAATCCTTGCCCTCGAGGAGCTTATATGCTAGTATAACAGCAGTTCTCAAAATGGGATCTGTAGGACACCTGAGGTTCCCTAAGATCCTTTCAGGGGATTCAAGAGGTCAAAACTATTCTCATTATAATACTCATATATGACTTACCTTTTTCCCTATGTTGACTTTTGCACTGATGATGTACAAGCAATAGCAGACAAAACTACTAGTGCCTTAATAGGAACCAAGGTTATGGCAAAACTGTACTAGCAGTCATTGCATTCTTCACAGCAATAGTTAAAAAAAAAAAAAAAGGTAGGGGAGGGTGAGTGGGTTGGAAGAGATCAACCAAAGAACTTGTATGCATTTATGCATAATCCATGGACACAGACAACAGGGTGGTGAAGGCCTAGAGTGGGGGGCAGAGGCGGGCTAGAAGAGGTCAATGGGGGGAAAAGGAGGACATCCTATCTAATAAAGAGAGAATATGCAAATTGACCATCACACCATCACAAAGATGACAGCACCCATAGCCACAAGACGGCAGCGCCTAGTCCCCTCAGCCCCGCCGGAGCCCCCCAGTCCTTTCAGCCCCTCCGGGGGGGAGGAGGTGGCAGGCACACGTGCAACCGGACCCACCCTCAGCCCCCTAGCCGTCCAGGGCCGGCCCAAGGCGCGGGCAAGCCTTGGATGTCGGCTGCCCAGCCGCCCAGGGACACCTGAGGCTCAGGTAACCAGGGCCAGCCGAGGCTTGCACTGCTGGCAGTGGCAGCAGCAGAGGTGTGATGGGGGCGTCACCTTCCCCTGATCACTGGGTCACCTCCCGCCCCTGAGGGCTCCTGGACTGTGAGAGGGGGCAGGCCGGGCTGAGGGACCCCCCTCCAGTGCATGAATTTTCATGCACCAGGCCTCTAGTATGTAATACTTTCAACAATAAAGATTTTTTTAAAAAGCAGTTCACTTGTTCACTTAAGAATGGCCTCGATAAAGTAGTAAAAAAGCATTAATTTTATTAAATTTCAACTCTTGAGCAAACATCTTTTAATATTCTATGTGATAAAATGAGAAACACACATATAACTGCTGCTGGATAATTAAGAATGATGGTTATCTTGAGAAAAGTCATTTGTGCAACTGAATTGCAAGTTGAACTGGCTGCTCTTATCATGACCCACAATTTTCATTTTAAAGGACTATGATTATTCAAACTTGCATATTTGGGAGACATTTTCTCAAAAATGAATGGAGTCTTTCACTTCAAGAAAAACTGACAATATTTGTTGCCAATAAAATTTGAGCTCTCAAGCCAAAATTAGAATTTTGGGTAAATTGTACCTACTATCATGAGACTGATAGCCTCCCAATACTGTACTAAAGATTTCTCTGATGATATCAATGATGATATTAACAAATGTGATTTTTTTAAAGTATTATGTAATTAAGGGTAGTAACATTGGGAAGATAAGCATAACGCAAAGGATCAGTATTTTCCAGCAGGTCAATGCATGATGTCACAGAATCACGCATGGGTAAAATATGCATTCACAGTGCAAGACAAACTATTGGATTTTAATGTGGAAGAGTATGAAAAGATCACTGATATGGTTTCAAATATCACATTACAACCAACTTTTACGAAACTACCACTTATCAAGTTTTGGTGTAATATCAAAGAATCATCTGCATAGGCTATTAAAATACTACCTTTTTCTAAAACTAATATAATATTGTGTTAACTATACCTTAATGAAGACAGTTTTTTTAATACCGTATCTGTGTGAATATATTTTCTTCATATACCTCACAAAACAACTCATCACAATAAATTGAATACAGAAGCATATATAAGAATCCAACTGTCTTCTATTAAGCCAGACATTAGAGATTTGCAAAAATGAAAAATAATGCCAGTTTTCTCACTAAGAATGTTTTGTTTTGAAAAATATATTTATTTTTCATATCAAATTTGTTATTTGTGTTACCATATAATGGGTTTATTATTGTTATTTTTAAGTGAATTAATAAATAATTCAAAATTTCCGGTTTTAAATACTAGTAAAGTAATATTAATAGATATAGCCCACATAGATAATAGTTCTTGGGGTCTCAATAAGTTTTAAGAGTATAAAGGGATCCTAAAACTAAAAAGTTTGAGAACCACTACACTAAGGTAGCTATCGTCATTTCCACTCTCCATTCTTGTCTAGCTTATTAAGTCATAGAGAAGTAGGGGGGGAAAGGGCACACATCTAGTTATGTATCTTGATGGTGACCAAAGGAAGAGAGGGGGAAGTGGTATAAATTTGTCTTTGTTTTAATTTCAAACAAGATAAATTATCCATAATAGAATGATTACATTTAACCCATAAAAGTTAGTGAGAGATACAAAATCTTCCTTCTAGGAGCCAAATAATAGAAGGTTGAAAAACCACTGTCACAAAATTATAATTATTTTTTCAAGGGATACATTTACATTTCAGAAAAATGACACTGAAATATTAATCTCAGTAAGAGAAAACATTTGTTAACATCAAATATTTATCCAGAAAAGGAAGTCAACACTAAGAGCAAATCAGTAGACCCAAATATTGTCTTCTCTATCAATGACAGGTATTGAACTCTTATTCACCACCCTATATATATATTCACCTCTGGATTTCCATAATGTCCCTAGCATGTAGCTGAATATACTTGCTCATTGAAGTTATGGTGGTCAACTTATATTTCACACTCCTAGTAAGAAAGAACTCTTTATATTTAACTCCATTGGTAAGGTGCAATGCATGGAAAGACACGTTAATAGTAGCTCTTTCTGATAAGGGCAATGATGATTGAGCACAGATTTTTAGGAATCCCACAAGCTAACAATTTTTCAACCTATCTGTAAGCAAAAAAAAGCATAGGAACAGAACTCCTACAGCTCTTGGTTTTATGTTCTAACTCTAATCTCTAGTATATCCTGGTTGAGTCTCATGGTTGCAAACCTTACCCAACTACTCGTACTACGGAACTGAAGCCAAGACTGGTAGGACAGTAGGACATCAATTTACAAAAACATCTTATTGCAAAGTTTAGGTGAATGATGGAAGATGTAGACCCAAACAGCTCAAAGGCATACACAAGTAGTTCCTTTGTTCAGTTATTAATAAAGGCACAAAAACAGTTATCTTTTTTTGGGAAAGAGGCAGTTAGAGAGAACAAAGATTCCTAGAGGATATGACAGTTTATAATTATTTCTCTACTACTTATTCATCAGTATATCAAACTACAATTTTTTTTTTATCTTGGACACATGGTCAAAAAAAAAAAAAGAGCAGTCATTTCAATGGGAAATCCACCTCAGAGAGACAGAGAAAAGTAAAAGTGGGGTTAATATCATTTAGCATAAGAACTCCATAAACAGTATAGAACTATGCAAAGGCAATAAAAGAACTGAGATAAAATTCTAGCTTAACAAGCCTAACAAAGCAAAACTCCAAAAGAGAGAGAGAATTGTCAAAACACTCCCCCTCCCGTAACAACTAAATATCTACAGACTAGCATTTTTTTTTTTAAGCATTACTGGGCATGGACTTTTCCCCAATGGTTTGAAACCCAAAAGAGAGAGAGAATTGTCAAAACACTCCCCCTCCTGTAACAACTAAATATCTACAGACTAGCATATCTTTTTTTTTTTTTTTTTAAGCGTTACTGGGCATGGACTTTTCCCCAATGGTTTGAAAACCAAAGCAGAAAATATATCTATACATCTACTATAACAATCTTACTACAGAAGGTTTCCAACTTGTAACACCATTCTTTCCTGAAACTGGTCAAGTTGGAAAGGCAATTAATAGGCGCCATCTGCCTTCAATGTTTTTCAGCTTCCAACATTTTTAGCCCTTTCACTGAAGAACGTACAGTAATACAGTGCTGCCACTTAGCAGGAAATCTCCTTTGCCTGCAAAGAAAGTGATTACTTATAGACTCGAAGGCTAGACGGGCTCTCAAAGGATGCCCAGTTTCCCCACAAGGTTGCACCTGTAACTCCTGCTCCAATCCTTTAACCTGGGAACTCTGCATATCTCCTTCACTTAGAGCAGTGGTTCTCAACCTTGGCTGCACATTAGAATCACCTGGGAATCTTTTTAAAATCCTGATGTCTGGGCCTCATCCTCCGGAAATTCTGTTTCTTTGTTACTAATGTTGTGGCCCCCCCACCCCATAACAAAGAAACAGAATTTCCGGAGGATGAGGCCCAGACATCAGGATTTTAAAAAGGTCCCCAGGTGATTCTAATGTGCAGCCAAGGTTGAGAACCACTGACTTTGAGCTTTTACATCTAAGTTCAGAGATGACAACGTGAATACTTTTTGGTGAGAACACAAAACATTTGAATTAATTTAAACTACCTAGGATCTGTTTAGTTGATTCACAAGTAGATTACTAATTCCGAAAATGCAAAAAAAAAAAAGATTAGGCTTCCAGTGTGCATTTAAAGATACATAACCCCTGAGAGAGAAATTAGTTGACCTAAAATCAAGAGCAGTCAATATGTGTAATAGAGCATTATAACCGCCACCAAAGTAAACAGAGTTTAAGGGTAAGCCATGTGCTCTTAATCCAGGATCACAAGGCCACAAGCCCTTAAGTCAAGGAAGAGTGCTTAAAGCGGGAATGTGTATTTATACGTAGGCAAGTCTATTTCACCCTGCACCATCTCTGCTTTCTGCAAGCTAGTGTGTGAGCTGGGAATAATGGGGGGAGAAAAGGTGTATCTAAAGTAGAGAACACGGCCGGCCGGGGTGGGACAGGGTGCACCAGGCTGCAGTCTCTCTCCCCGCACCTTCCCGGGCACTTATTGCCAAGGCCGGTCCATCAACCCCAGCGCAGAGGCCAGTGGGGGTGGGGTGAACAGGGGACGCGCGAGGAAGGGCAGGAAAAGTGGACTAACTCTCTCTCACCACCCCCAGACTGAGGGCCTCGCCAGAGACCTGCGAGCTAGCACCATCCCAAAGCCAACCACCACCTGGGGCCCCCGCTCCGAACACCCGGGTCGGAAACCTCCAGGTGCGAGGCGCATGCGCACT